TACAGTTGATTTGTAGTAATTTCAGATCACTTGCAATTTTTTGGAAGACCTTGATTTTCCTGGTCTCACAGTGTGGTCAGCTCACTTATTTATTTCTGTTAATTTGGAAGGAAATGTCTGTTTTTATTTCTATAAAATGATGATTTTTTCATGGGATTTTTTCCTAACCTATAACAATTATATTTTTGTGTTCAAGTGTGAATTAGAAATTTCATAAAAGTGATTATTTGTTGCTTTATCTTCAGATTTAATAAGATATTCTGTGTGTGTGTGTGTGTGTGTGTGTGTGTGTGTTAAAGAGAGACAGACAGACACACACAAACTTAGACATCCCTCTTTCAAATGTGGTTTTCACTTACTTTGGGCCACTATGGAATCCCAGGGTACATAATCCTCCTGGCCCTAAGACATACCATTCACACATGAAAGCCCAGCAAATTCACTTAGAGCACCACTACTGGGAGAGACATCATGCTTATAACACATTCATTATCATTTTAATAATAAGTGTACCCCCTTTTGGGTTATATTTTTCTTATCACAGGAGAGGCTATCTGTATTTCTGTGTGTATTTATACTTATATTTCCTAAGCCTCTATACAATTTTATGAAGCATTTTAATAAAGTCATATAAAGTTTTTATCTGCACTCTTCCTCTAGGAGTAATATGAGTGCCAATAACAGGCTAAATCCCTTAGTGGATCCATCTGACACATGAAACTGAAACCTCTTTGTTGAGACATTGTGGAATAAAGTGCACACTCTTGCACTTGTGTTCACCATTGACAGGCACATGAGTCTTTTCAGCTGAGGATAAAAAATGACCCAAGGCTCTGGAGAGCAGAAACGTCAAGGTCTGGCAGGAAATGCTTTCTGCACCACACTCTCTCCTGCAGAGATGGGGCACAGCTGAGAGTCAGCCCGGGTTTTTTTCCAGAAGGTCCCCTGAGCTGTGCCTCTGTGCTCCACGTGGGCAGTAATACATGGCTGTGTCTGCAGGGTCCGTGTGGCTCAGAGTTAGAAACACTTGGTTTTGGGAGGTGTCTTTCGAGACTGTGAGCCAGCTCTTCAGAGATGGGTTGTAATATTTACTATTATCCCACCAGATGTCTGTGAGCCACTCCAGTGCCTTCCCTGGAGGCTGGTGGATCCAGCTGACACCATTGTTTTTAGTGTTCAGTGATAACCCTGATAAGGTGCAGGTCAGCGACAGGGTCTGGGTGGGTTTCAGCAGCCCAGGATCGGACTCCTCCAGGGTGACCTGGGACAGAAACCCTGTGGAGAAAGCACAGAAGAAGGTGATGCTGCTTTAAAAGAACAACAGGACTCATCTCATCCCTGTGGGATCCCTGAGCAGAGCCTCACAGGAAGGGACCGTCAGCAGCAGGAGAGTGGAACCAAGCCTGTTGTCCATGGTGGGGCCCAGGGGTCACTGATCCAAGGCTAGGACTCAGCTTTTCAAGGCAGGAGAGGGCGGAGCTGATGGAGATTTGCATTCCCTTTAAATGAGCCTTGACCCTATATAGTGGACCCAGGCATCAAGGTGCAGTAGAGGAGTGAGTCCCTGATGGGTGAGCAGTGAACCCTAGGTGTGAGCTCCCATGTACACTTCTCCCTGAGGATCAAAATGTCCATTGAGGGTCCAGGATCTCAGGACATGATATTTTTGGAAGTACACTATACAGTGAAAGCTGTCAGGCTATGGTTGAATCATTGATCATTCCTCCCCATGAATACTTGTTCAGGAGAGTTTGCAGTTGGTTTACTGTTCTACAAGAGTATGATTAGCTATCAATAGAGAGATGTGTTGCATATCCCTTAAAGAAGAAGAGAGGTGTGTGTTATGGGAGAATGGAGGGTATTCCAAAATGCTCTTAGTCTCTCTGTGTTAAGAAGAGTCCAAAGGAATTTGTTAGATGAGGGACAGCCAATCCACAGATAATTTAAATTTACTGTGTAAACAATCCAGCACCAACCTGTCCAACACCTTGCATGTGATCCTGAAGGTGACTGTACTCAAACCTGCCTGTCAATGAAAATACTCCATGTATAAATCACCTTGTGACTGTGCCCACTGGACATGGTGAGAGACAGACAACTGTTTTCTTGCCTTCCACTTTCTCATCACGTGAACCAGGAGAAGTTTTGGAGAAATGAAATGGAGAGCTCTCGGGGCAGCAGTGTGCTGACAGCAAGTCCTCTCCTAGGCCTTCCCCACATCTGCTCTGGAACTGGTCCCATGCTTGTACTGGTTTGGGACATCCTTAAGCCCCCAAGTTCCTCATTCATACATAAATTAAAGTGCAGAATTAGGACGTTTTTAGCCCCACTCAATCCTGCATAAGTACCTCTATGCAGACCCAGCTGATCTCTATGATTTTGTTACACTTATTCATTTTGAAAATTGTACAATGTGACCATTGCCCATCTCATAGTGCTTTTGTGAGTCCATAGTCCTGCACTCATTTAAAGACCTGAGGTTTACACAGTAGCTCTGTTGCTGAGGGTTTTCATTGCCAGGCATGAATTAGAGGTGTTGATTGGTTTATTGACCATGGGCTCTCATCTGATATGAGGAGAAGAGGTTGGGATGAGACTC